AAATACTACATTTAAAACGTATTCTCGTATCAATACTTGGGAAGACACATCAATATGTGAGATGTACGGATTTTTAGCTATTACGATGTTAATGCCGCGGGTGAAGAAATTGACTGTAAAAGAGTATTGGTCGACCGATGACATGTTAAAAACTAATATTTTTCAAAGAACTATGGCGCGAGACAGATATATGATATTATTGCAAATGTTGCATTTTAATGATAACAATATACAAAGTGATGATCCATTGATAAAAATACGACCTATAATTGATACTCTGAAGAACTCTTTCTCACAGTCATTTTATCCGTACAAACATTTGTGCATTGACGAAAGTCTTATGTTGTTCAAAGGCCGGTGTTATTTTAAACAATTTATACCATCTAAAAGAAGTAGATTTGGTATAAAGTCATTTATTCTGTGTGACTGCACCACAAACTATGTATTAGATTATATAGTATATACCGGAAAAAATACAGATATTGTACATAATTCTACAACCATTGGGAAATCGGCAGATATTGTTATGACTCTTTTACGTCCATATCTTGAAAAGGGCCATACATTGATAACTGATAATTGGTACACAAGCCCGCATTTGTATACTGTACTTCATAAACATAAAACTAATGCGTTTGGGACAGTACGTAAAAACAGAAAAGATATGCCCCTTATCGATGGAAAATTGACAAAAGGGCAATTTGACTACAGATGTACAAATAACTTATTGGCATTGAAGTGGCGAGATAGAAAAGATGTATGGATGTTATCAAGTGCTCACGAACCGAAAATGATTGAATCTGGTCGAAGAAATTATCTTACAGGATCGCCCAAGTTGAAACCAGAATGTGTTGTAGATTATAACATGAAAATGGGCTCTGTGGACTGCGTTGACGTGGTTCTAAGTACAATAAATTCATGCAGAAAATGTCTAAAGTGGTATAAAAAGTATTTTTTCCATTTAGTAGACATCTCAATATATCGTCCTGTATCAACGTGTGACTGGTAAGAAATTAAAATATAACGATTTTCATCTGTTACTAGTCAAACAAATTTTGCAGAAATACCCTCAAAATAGAAAACAAGCGGGCGGTGGCAAAAGAAGCGTAGAAAGCCTACCATTTCGTTTGACTGAGAGACATTTCCCTTCAAAAATTTTAAATGCAGAAAGAAAATCGGCAAGAAGGAAATGTGTTGCCTGTAAAAGACAGCAAAGAAGGAAGGATACACCATATCAATGCAAAAAATGCGACGTCGGGTTATGTGTTGATCCTTGTTTTGAGATTTTTCATTCGCAAATGAATTATTAATTTTTTCTATGAATTATTAGTTTTTTCTTTAAATATCTATGTATTAAATGTTATTTTCTTAAAATATATATATTTGAAGCCTTTCCATGATTATATAAAACCTATAATTGATACTCTGAAGAACTCTTTCTCACAGTCATTTTATCCGTACAAATATTTGTGCATTGACGAAAGCCTTATGTTGTTCAAAGGCCGGTGTTACTTTAAACAATTTATACCATCTAAAAGAAGTAGATTTGGTATAAAGTCATTTATCCTGTGCGACTGCACCACAAACTATATATTAGATTATATAGTATATACCGGAAAAAATACAGATATTGTACATAATTCTAC